TCAGTTCAAATATGAATATTCATTTGATTTTTATACTTGATTTATATGTGGATATCACATTTCTCTCATTATTATTATTTTTAATAAAATGCTGAAGTGGTAAGTAGATACAAGATAAAGGTAGAAAACATAGTTTAGTGTTGTAAGAGAGCAAATGTAGATGATCAGGTATGTGCCTGTAGACTATGTGCAAGCCAAGTTATTTTTGTCAGTGCTGCACCTGTGTTGGGCTCGGTATAGACGGGTGCTTCTCTGCCAGACCAGCCCACCTGCCCCCTGAGACCGGTGTCTTCCATAAACTGATTAGTGATGGAGCGGGTCACAAACCTGGGGACTGGGCCCCCTGTGGTCAGACTGAGTGCTGTGGCCCTTCTCACTGATTCTCCTTGGAATGACTATAGTTCTTTTCTGTTCTGTAAGTGAAGAAATTTTAAAGCTTTTAAATGAGCTTGAGAAGTTTTAACATTTTAATTTCTTGGCAGAAAGTGTTTTATGCCACAAATATAAACAATACGTGGAGAAAAATGAAAGGCACAGTATTATTCATTTAAACAATCTAAAGCTTGTCCTATACTAAGCCTCAAAGAGACATATAAGCTATGACTTGTTCTACAAGCCTGTTGGATTATTTAATCTTCTAACAGTAATAATGAGTACCTTTAAGGTATAACAAAATGTACCTTATCTGGATTTACTGATTCAGGTGAAGCTCATGGCTGATGGGATGCTAAAGTTGATATATTTTCCATGAATATTTTTGTGTATGAGAAGAGTGCCTTCTTTTAAAAATGAGACATAGAATTTTGATCACGTCTCTTTACCTTCCCTCAGTCTGGTAGTGCTGTAATCACACAGGTTCACTGCAGAGCTTTGGTAATTCAAGGTTCCAGAACGTCTTTGTAGGCCGTTCCCTTCCTCTCTGAGTCATTTGCCAGCCCCTCCAGGTTGCTGGAGAGGAAGGACTCCTCTCAGCCCGTGTGGCCAGCTGTGTGAACACTCAGTCATTCCTTCTTTTCTCTGTGGTTGGAAAATGTAGACTTTCCAAGATGCCTAATTTGTGCTTCTATATATACTAGCTTTGTATTTCTAATGTGTGGGCAGGCTTCCTGTAAGCCCGGAAAAGGGAAAATCATTTCTTTCCCCTCAAAAGGACATCTGTAAAGTTTTTATTGCCCAAGACTTTATTATACTTGGGTACCCGACACTGCATCTTCACAAAGTGCAGTTAGTCAGGATTCAAAGAATTGTAGGTTTTGTGGATTTAACTTAAAAACAAAAAAGAAGAAGAAAAAAGAAATAACCAGGGAGAGCGGACACTTCAAACATTTGGAACATATGTTTGGAATCAAGTCCTCGCGGGGGCACTAGGGGCTGTCCTCCCCTGAAAGGTCGCTGTGGACAGTCTGTGTATCAAGGCAAGAAAACAGGCGTTCAAACTGCATGGCTCAGGCATGGTGTGGTGCTGACAGGCTCACTGCTCCAGAATCGCTAGCACTTTATAATTGGGGAGAGTATGGGTGGGACCTGATTTACTTGTGCTGGAGTCAGAATTAGAGCCTCCATCTCCTGCCCAGAGACTTCTCAGCAGTTTTATTCTGCCCCTGCTCTGTCTAACCAGGTAGTTCAAACCACCCTCACTCCCTGCTGTCACTTCCTGCCATACATTTATTCTTACAAACTTGCAGAGGCAGGCAACCTAACTGTTAAAGCGTGCCTTTACCCTGGCTGACACTTCACTTTTATTCTCATCTCTTACAGAACACATGTGTTTTACTGTCTGCTGTCTTCCGGTGAGGAGTCTAGTTTTCTGACTGTCCCTGTGGGGTCTTTGTGGGGATTTTCTTGGGGGTTCACGAGTTGTCACAGAGGGCCCTCACTGGTTGCATTATACGGGTGGAAAGATACCCCATTTCCTAACATCAGGTTTCTTTTCCAGTTTAATTGTTGTGCAAAGACTGCTTCCCTGTTGCCCCAACTGCTCCCAAGCAGTAACTCCTCTTGGAAAATATGATTCATCCTTCCATGCCAATGCCGTG